TAGAAATTACCTTCCCATTTCAAGGACTATTGAGTGCAAGGATTGTCAGAACATAGTTAGAAGTAATTGCCAGATTGCCCCCAGTGCATTGATACAGTTTTCCAAATCAAATCAAATCAATAAAATTTTATTAACCATATTCAAATATTTACAAGCAGGTAGAATTATTTAAACAGACGGATACATATTATAATGAAAAAGCTATAAATTTAATTATAAAATAGAAGGAAAGAGTAAAATGTAATATGGATGGAGATTGGCAGAAGAAAACTCCAGGGAGTTTGTAGAGAATGCCAATCACCAATTTTACCAGGGTCGAGTACAAACTGAGCAGGGTTTCTTATCCAAAATACACTAATTCAGCTTTTCATAATTTCATCAAACAATGAATATTTGAGCTTTTTTTGAAATGATTTTAATGTTTTTGACAGAGTGATAGTGTCATCAAGCGAATTCCAGAATAGGGTCCCGCTTTGTCTTAGGGTCATTTTTCTAGTTGTGGTTCTTACTTGAGTGATATGTAATTTGCTGGCAGTTCTGGTATTATAGTTGTGAATTTCATCAAATGAACAAAGTAGGTTTGGAAGATAGGTGGAAGAGTACGAGGGTAGTTAATGCATCTAAATATAAAGGCTCCAGTTTGGTATTTATTTATGTCATAAACAGTCAATAATTTCAGCTTATAGAATAAGGGCTTTGTGTGGTCTCTAAATCCAACGTTAGCAATTATTCGTATCATACGTTTTTGTAGTTTAAAATTTTTTTCTAAATTTGTACTATATGTTTTAGCCCAGATAATGTTACAATATTGTATATATGGTAACACAAGCGTGCAGTATAGTGATCGACGTGCTGTGGCTGAAATTAATGACTTAATTTTATTTATAACACCAATGGATTTTGACATTTTTAGAGAAACGCTATTGATATGTGGCTTCCAATCAAGATTTTCATGAATATGAACACCAAGGAATGTTATAGAACTAACCTGTTCGATGAGTTTGTTATCTATCTTAATATCAGTTGTTTTTGTATAGTACTTGTTTCTAGCACAGAAAATAATACATTTGGTTTTCTTCAGATTTAACGAAAGTTTGTTTGATTTAAACCAGGTGGCTATAACACTGAACTCTTGGTTTGTAATCTGTATCAGTTTAGTAAGGTCTTTCCCTGAAGAAAAGAGACTGGTGTCGTCTGCAAACAGGATTATTTTTAAAAGAGAAGAGCAGTTAGAAATATCATTCACATATATAAGGAATAATAGAGGTCCAAGTATGGACCCCTGAGGAACTCCGCAAACAATAGTTTTATGCATTGACAGTATATTATTGAATTTAATGAATTGTTTCCTATTAAAAAGGTAATCTGAGAACCAAAGTAATGGTGCTCCTCTTATCCCATAGTGATTAAGTTTCTCGATAAGAATTTTGTGGTTCACAGTATCAAATGCCTTACTTAAATCAATGAATACACCTACAGAAAATTCTTTTTTATCAATTGAGTTTGAGAGGTTATCAATTGAGTTTGAGAGGTTATCAATTAAGTCCAAAACTGCCATAAAGGTTGAATGATTTTTTCTGAATCCAAACTGATTATCAGAAAGAATGTTGTGTTTAGTCCCCGAGCCGACGGCGCGAAGCGCCGTGCGAGGGTACTAATTCCCCCCGGCTATTTACACCCGGGGAAACGAAAGCATTAGCGGAGTCTAAAGTTCATCAAATATCGCGGGCGTGGGTGACCAACGATGGGTGGTCATCCTCACTGATCTCAAACATATGGCGGACTGTCATGAATAGCGGACACTGATTGGTCCAATTTAAATTTTGCATTATAACGACTGGCACGGATGTATCACGACAGCGAAATAGCAAACATTTCTTGATTTGATGATTGATAAATTTCTTGCAAATATATTTCATTTTTACTCGCATTTTTGCAAGATTTTGTAAATTTCAAAAGCTCTCTTAAAATGAAACTGCGAAAGAATCGTCTAAAAGAAGGGAGCCGACGTTAACGAAGGTAAGTTTGTTTTAAATATTGATTTTATAATGGCTTTAAAACCCGACGGCCTTTGCGTATATGAAACAACTAAACAAACAGCATATAATTTTAGTGTATCTTTAATACTGATTCCCTTTTTTATGATATTGAATTTCTAAATAAAAAAGAAAGCACTGAGTTATTTGCAAGCCAGAATTTGAAATCATTTTATTGCTAACTCAAAGTTTATCGATAAAGCCATTTTAAAAGGTAGTTTAGTTTTATAATGAACACTAGTGACTTTAAAACGTTTTGCGAAGTGTTTGTGGTTGAATTTTACCTTAAATTGAGGCTTATATTACGTATAAAAACATGCCTAACATATATTTATGTTGGGAAATTAATAATTTTGTAATTAAAAGTGATATTTTTAGGCGATTTTTCATTTGTAAGAATATTCTTAAAAAATTATCGTGTTACCATGACAACTACTTTAGAACTTCATGTTCGGAAAATACAATGGTTTTGTCAGCAAGGCAAGGGTTTCTGCATGCATGTATTTTCTAGTAAGATATTTTATGAGTCTTACATAGACAACTCTTTCAAGAATTTTAGGAAAAATTGGGAGTATTGATATGGGACGATAGTTAGAGAATTTTTTGTTGTCATCAGCTTTGAAAATGGGGAGGACTTTGGCAACTTTAAGTTGGTCAGGTACTCTGCCCGACTCCATTGATATATTGAAAATGTATGAAAGAATGGATGCAAGTGGCTCTGCAGCCTGTTTGATTACAAAAGGATCTAGACAGTCTGGACCTGGTGATTTATTAGGATTAAGATCTCTTATTATAGCAAATATTTCATTATCATCAGTAAGGTAGAATACAAAGGAGTTGGGGTAAGACCCTGTTAAGAACTGAGTGAATTTTGTTTGAGTATATGGAAATTTAGAAGCAAGGTTAGTACCAACATTTACAAAGTAATCATTAAAGGTATTGGCGATCATTTCAGGATTTGTGATATCGCTATTGTTATGGGTAAATGAATTTGGATAATTGAGCTGAGGTTTAGATTTATTTAATAGTTCTTTCAAAGTTTTCCAGGTAGCTTTAATGCTGGTTTTAACAGATTTGAATTTATGATTATAAAAATGTTTTTTAGCTATCCTGAGAAGATGATTAAGTTTATTCCTGTATATTTTGTACTTTTGTTCATATTTGGCTGTCCTATTTTGCAGGAATTTGCTGTAGAGTTTATTTTTAAATTTGATAGATTTAATTAATCCCTGTGTTATCCAGGGCTTTCGGGATTGGTGTTTTGTTAGTTTAACCTTTGTTAATGGAATATGCTGATTATACAAGGTATTAATGTGATCAGAAAAAAGGGTATAGGCAGAGTTTGGGTCAGATGTGGAGAATACTGAACTCCATTCGGATGACCTTAAAGAGTCCAAAAATCTATTCACATTCTCCCTTGTGTTATTCCTTTTATAAATAAAGGGAGGGGATCTTGGTTTGGGCATATTCACATCCATGACAGAGAAGATGGGTAGATCTATACGTAGGGCTAGAGATCTTTTAGAAACCCTTTTGGGCTTTTATTTTAAGACCCCTAGTTATAACAAAACTTTTATTACTTAGTATAATTTCATGATGTCATAAAAATAGTACATAATATAATAACGAAAATATATACAATTGTGAGAGTGTTTAAAGGAAAGTTAGTCTATTTACAAGATTTTTCAGATTTTTTAAACTTTATACATTAAAATAGGATGATTAATTAGCTGATTGGTGTGATATAAAGTATGTTTTCACATTTTTTTTGAAAACCATATATGATCCAATATTTTTTAACTCCGTACTTAAATTATTCCAAATGTCAATACCTTTACTAACAACAGATTGTTTTCTATAGTTTGTTCTTGTATAAACTTTATGCAATTTTTTTGAATTTCACGTGCAATGTTCATGAATGTTTGAATTTTTTATGAAGTATCCATTAAAAATGTCGGGTAAATCATTAGTACAGTTGCAACGGTACATAAATAAGCTGGTAAGGTAATCGTTAATTTTGAAAATATTTAATATTTTCAAATCATTAAATAGCGGTTTTGTATGTTCTGTGTATGATTTAAATTTCATTAATCGAATAATCTTCTTTTGAATTCTGAAAAGCTTTTCAATTTTCGAAGGGTATGTATTACCCCAAGCTAAATTACCATATGTAAGGTATGGATAATAGGTCAACTTTATAGTGTTCAAGTTCGTAAAATGTCGCAATTTTGAAATTAGTCCAGTAAACTTGACAATAGTTTTACATATAGAATCAATATGATTTTTCCACGTTAAATTTTCATCAATTAGTACACCCAAAAATTTTGTATAAGAGACCTTTTGGATCAATTCATTTCTTATTTTTATTGTAATATTATGAGATTCCAATTTTTTATTTTTTGATTTGAAAAGAATTAATTTCGTTTTAGAAGCGTTAATTGATAATTTATTAGCATTAAGCCAATTCATAATTTTATTCATTTCTTCTTGCATTATATTCGTTAAAGAGGTTAAGCAAGAATTTGAATAAAAAGCATTTGTGTCATCTGCATACAAGTAGGGGTGGGCGATATTTCGATATTTTGATTTATCGCGATATTTTCAATCACGATTATCGTATCGAAGGGAGAAACTTGAGCGACGATATATCGAAATTATCGTCATGCTCGATGACTATCGTGATATTGCTTCGCATGTGTATATAGCTGTTATAAAATCCTAAAAAATTCTTTCAATTCCTTGAAAATATAGTTTTTAAAAGAATTAAAACTATTTCTTGAATTAAATACAAATTTTATAACACGACAACTGTCAATAAGAATACGATAAGACGATACAAAAGCTAATAATTATGTATTAACCGCTGAACAGTGAAATTGCAGGCTTTGCTTTCCCTGTGTGCCCACGGCATTTGTGGCAGCGGAGGCACAGCAAACGTTTGTCAAACGTATAAAAACGTTTTGCATGAATGGACACCGAAGTAACAGACGACCAAATCTTATTAAAAAGAAAAATACAAAGAGCGCTGCATGGAATTTTTTCGGAATCGAGGCAGACGAACATGGCGTATCAATACCATCACAAGAGCATCGGCCCATTTGCAGGATATGCTACAAGTCAGTGCCATGTAAAACTGGCAACACCACAAATTTGTTTAGTCATCTTCGTGAACGACACCCCGATGCATACAAAGAAGCAAATCAAGGAAATATGAACACAAAGAAAGCATCAAGGAGTCAAGGTATGCAGCCAACACTTGAGACTGTTGTTGAGCGCTCAACTCATGATCCCAAAGGTAGCCAAGCAAAAGAACTGAATCATGCAGTAGCTTATTTTTTAGCGAAAGACATGCAACCATTGCAGACAGTGGAAAAACCTGGGTTTAAAAAGATGATTGCCAAATTAAACCCTAGATACAAGCTCCCTTCGAGAAAGCACTTTTCACACCAAGAAATTCCACGTTTATATAATCAGGTAAAAGAAACAGTGGTTAATCCCAAGCTAAGCCAAATTGACTTTTTTTCTGCTACAACAGACTTATGGACCAGCAGGGCAACGCACCCTTACTTGAGTTATACAGTTCATTTCATTGATTCCGCATGGGGACTTCAGTCAATTTGCCTTGAGACCGTGCCCTTGTTTGAAGATCATACTGGAGAAAACATTATTGAGTCCATCAATGATATATTGAGCAATTGGAACCTTTCAACTGATAAGCTAGTCCTTACTGCAACGGACAATGGCAGTAATTTTATTGCTGGGTTTCACTCACGTGGTTGGTTACGATTGAGCTGTTTTGGACATTGTTTGGACCTTGCTATTAACAAGTGCTTGGAAATGCAAAGAGTACAAAGGTCAGTGAGACGATGTAACGCTCTAGTAGCATCATTTAGTCGAAGCTGGAAGAAGCAGAGGAACCTCAAAGAGAAACAAAGTCAGCTGGGTCTTCCAGAACACAAGCTTGTTGGTGCAGTTACCACACGTTGGAACTCAACTTACGACATGGTGGAAAGAATATTGGAACAGCAGCAAGCGTTGTCAGCTGTCCTTCTCGAAGACAGAAAGTCGTGGTGCCTTATGCTAAATGATGCAAGATGTTACAGTGCTAGAGACGTTTGCTGAACTTGTAAAACCTCTATCATATCTCACAGATGCTTTATCCGGAGAGAAAGAAGTAACCTGTTCTGCCATCCGACCACTTTTACAGCATGTGATGGAAATTTGCGAAGAGAACGATGAAGACAGTCCTTTTTAGTCCAAATGAAGTCCGCTATTTCTGGTAACCTCTCTCCACGCTATGAATCAGCTGCAATATGTATAATTATTGATAAATGTAGCTTTCTTGATCCAAGATTCAAAGCGAACTATGTTGCTGACACAGATCTAGTCAAGTCTAACGTATTGACAGAAATGTTAAAGCAACATGACCAACATCGAGGTGAGTCAGATGATGCTGATGATCATCGTTTAACTATTAACCCACAACAAGACTCACAAGAGTCACTCGAACCACCACTACCCAAAAAGGCAAAAGGTCTTACAGCTATTTTAAATAAGCTTCCAAGGTCAAATGTTTCCAATCAGGGAACTGTTCCTCTAAGAGCAAGGGCGGAAAAAGAGATGGATAACTATTTGGCGCAACCGTGTATAGAGACAGATAGTAATCCACTTTTGTGGTGGAAAAACAATTGCGTATATTTTCCTCTTCTTGCTGTAATGGCCAAAAAGTATCTTTGCATTCCAGCAACAAGTGTACCGTCAGAACGTGTATTCAACAAGGGAGGGATTATTGTAAATGCTTTTCGTAGTAGGTTGAAACCACAACATGTTAATAGTCTAGTTTTCCTTTCAAAAAACATGGAATAAAGTATACTAGTACTAGACTACTAGTAGAGACATTTGAACTGTAAACAAATAAGACAATAGACACTGCATAGACAGATCGTTTATGAATAGTAAATATTAGGTAGTTTAAGATGTACCAAATCAGCGATGCTGATGTGACTAAAAAACAGTCGCTAATAACTGGAGACTAGTTTTACTTTGTTTTTCATGTGTCCCTGGCTTTGTTTACCAACAACAACCCACAGTTTTTACCCGTGAAGTACTGAAGTGAAACTGTGATAATAGCGGCAGTTTTTCGTCACATCCACATTGTAGATTTGGTGTACCTTAAGCTCCCTATTAGACTAGAAAAACTTTCATATTAATTTAATTTGTTGTTTTACTTGTTTTTTATAAGATAACATATAAGATTACTATGCTTTGATATTAATTAAGATTGAAAAATGTGGTCATTGTTTTTACTGCATTTATCGCGATATTATCGAATATCGTGATAATTTCCTTGACGATAATCGTGAGATGATTTTTTTAATATCGCCCACCCCTACATACAAGACAAATGATATAATATTACTACAATTTTCAATATCATTGATATATAACAAAAAGAGCAAAGGTTCAAGTCAAGTATTGATCCTTGAGGAACACCAGTAGTAATAGTCATTTCTGATGAATTGTATTCTTTATATTTTACTATTTGTTTTCTTTCTTTCAAATAACTTTTAAACCATTCAATGCATAATCCTCTTATACCATAATGTTCTAACTTCTTTATAAGAATTTCATGGTTGACTGTGTCAAATGCTTTTGAGAGATAAAGGAAAATTCCAATTGTGTATTTGCCTTCATCTATTGCTTTGGAAATTTTGTCAGTAATTTCAATAATTGCATGTTCTGTTGATCTATTTTTCCTAAATCCGTATTGGTGTTTCGACAAGATTTCATTTGCGTCAATAAATTTTATCAATCTTTTGATACATTACTTTTTCCAATAATTTTGAAAAACATGATAGTACCGAAATAGGTCTGTAGTTTTGAAATCTAAAGTCTTCATTTGCCTTGTATACAGGTTTCATTTGTCTTCAAAGTCTTCATTTGCCTTGTATACATGGTCTACAGGTTTCATTTCCAATTAACTTTATTGCTTTGGCACTTAGCTCATCATAACCAGCACTTTTATTTTGATTTAATTTGTCTATTTCAATTTTTACTTCAATCTCAGTAACCGGCTCAACCAACATACTTTTCACATAACTTCCGGAAAGATACCTGTCAAATGATTTTTCATTATTTTCAATGTGAATTTGTCTAGCTAACTCAGGTCCGGCATTAATAAAATATTTATTAAAGTTGTTTGCGATAACAGTTGGATTTGTCAAGGCTTTGTTGGAAACTTTTTCTATGAATTTATCCGGTAGTGTGGATTTTTCATTCCTTCTATTTAAAATTTCGTTAATCGTTTTCCATGTCATTCTACTATTGTTTTTATAATTTACAAATTGTTTTTCATAATAATTTTTTTTGGCGAGTTTGACTAGGTGATTTAGTTTGTTCTTATACTTTTTGTATGTTTCTTCATTTTTCCGATTAGGTGTTTTCAAATATTTTCTATAAAGTTTATTTTTTTCAGTTACGGACTTTGAAATACTGTGAGTCATCCAAGGACTTTTAAAGTAATCAATCTTTTTTTTCTTTTTCTTTTGTAGTGAAAAGTTTTTGTTGAATGCAGTTTTTATTTTTTTAAAAAAGTTTCATAAGATTCAGTAGCATCATTGCTTTGAAAAATATCGTCCCAAGTCATATTTTGAATAGCGTTTGAAAATGATGAAAGATTTTTTATATCTATTTTCCTATGATAATTGTTGTCAGATTACAATTGATGATGGATACTTGTATTTGCAAAATGAAAAATAGGAAAATGATCAGAAATATCTGTGAAAATTATTCCATTTTTGCTGGTTTCAATTTGTTCATAGTCATTGGTAAAGATGTTATCTATTAAAGTTGCAGTGTGTGGTGTAATTCTCGTTGGTTTTGCAATAAGAGGGAAAAACGTTGAAGTGAAAAGTTGTCCACTAAATCTGTTTGAGTAGTCACTTTGATCAGATTTTAAAAGATCTATATTGAAATCACCCATAAGATAAGCATGTTTACTAATTTTGTTGATTGAATATAAAACATTAAGTTTGGTTTCAAAAATTTCAAAGTTTCCATTTGGAGGTCTATAAATAGTTCCTATGATTATATTTTTTCCAATCGTTGATGTTATTTCAACAAATACAGACTCGATTATACCTGTTTCACTTACACTTAAATCAGGTCGCATTTTAAAATTAAGTTTATTGGAAACGTACATTCCTACTCCTCCACTGTTCTTGTGATTTCTGTTTTTACTAACGAAGGTATAACCATCTAACATGAAGTTTTCACAGTTTTGATCATTTAGCCATGTTTCAGATAGCCCAATTACAGAGAAAGATTGTTTTAGAGTGTTTAATAAATGCTTGAAAGAGTCGAATTTGTTAGATATACTTCTTATATTTAAATGCAGAATAGAGAATTTGTTCTTTGTGATGTTTGTCGTTACGTCATTTGGAAAAAAGTAGTCGCAATTTATGTTATCTAGATTCAATGTCATATTCGTATTGTTTGCATCACAGTTGGTGCTTATATTTTCGTCAAATGGATTAAATTTGAGTTCTGAAAGTCTTTCGATATCATTGTCATTTGGTATTCGATTGTAGTTTCCAAAAATAAAGTTAAATTCAGGATTATCAATAGAACTAAAAGGTAATAAGGTATTAACACATTTTTTGCAGATTTTGATTTCCGTTTCCTGTCGCGTAGGACGCGAATTATCACAAACATGAAACCAGCTTTTACATGTTTCACACTTAAAGCTTGATTCAATTTTGTGAGATGTAACTAATTTAGGATAGTTAGAACAGATATTTGGTGTGTTAGACATATTTTAAGTTTAAGGTAATAAATAGTTACGATACAACCTTAAATGTTCAATGATAAACTAATTTTGCTTGAATTCAACACCATCGATAAACAGCCTGTCGCACACCAGGCGCACTCTCTTCTTAGCTAATTTTGCTTTCCTCATTTCTGGAGACAACTTTCTTCTGGTTTCTTCAATCTCTTCGGGAAATTGTTCCCTCTCAATTTCTTCGCGTTTTTCCTTATCATTTCACGGTCTTGAAAAAAATTGAATTTTGCGACAATAGGTCTCGGCTTACCGTGTTGGTTGTGGTGTTGCTTGCCAAGTCTATGCGATCGATGATCAGAAATGTCAGTAAGTAGGATACCAGATGAAAAAGATGATCAGAAAAAGATGAAAAAGATGATCAGAGATGTCAGTAAGTAGGATACCAGATGAAAAAGACTGGGTATAGTTGTTAGAAAATATATTATCTATCAAAGTTGCAGAATAGGTAGTGATTCTAGTTGGCCTAAATATAGAAGGACATAGGGAGTGAGACAACATTATTTCCAAAAAAATCACTGGTAAGGTTGCATATTTCAGTATTTAGTAAATTTATGTTGAAGTCACCCATAATGTGAACAGATTTATTAGAGCTCCCAAGGCCACCCAATGTATTTTCAATATAGTCATTAAATTTCTTAATATCACAATTTGGTGGTCTATATATTACTCCAATTATGGTACTGGACTTGTCAAATTTCATCTCAACAAAAATTGATTGACAAACATTATAATCATTGATTTCAAGATATAAACCCACTCCACCACCATGCCTATCACTACGACTGCAAGATAGAAGTTTATAATCAATATTATAAAATGATAAATCACAGTCACTTGGTATCCAGGTTTCAGTGATTCCAATAACTGGGAAGGGGAATTTTAGTAGGTTTAGATAGTTGGTAATTTTGTCAAAGTTGTGTGAAAGACTACGTGCATTAAGATGCATAAGTGAAAAGGCATTAGGGTTTGAAGAGAATTTAGTTTTGAACCTTTCTTCATTAAAATATTCAGAGTCATGGTTTACATTATTGTTGCCAACATAAAATTGGTTATCTGGATCAAGATCAGGTGAATTTACAAGAGGTGAAGTAAGTAGATATAATGAGACAAATACCTTATGTATCATTAAGAAACTCTAAACAGTTGGCTCGTAAACTTAAACTTGCTGTTGGGCAACGAACAGAAATTGCAATCGATGTGCAAAAACTGATGATGGTCTTACAAATGGCGCAAGTAACGTGATAAGATTAATACAATTGAATAATGAAAGTAAACCATCTGGCATAGTTTGGGTCCAGTTTGACTATGAAGATGTTGGCAGAAAGACTTGACAAGAAAATAGAAATCTTTATACTAGAAGTATTGAAAGAATGTGGACACCAATTAAACCAGTTACATCACAATTTCTTGTGGGCAAAACTAAATCAGCTCAAGTTATGAGAAAACAATTTCCATTAAGGCCGGCATCAGCTAAGACTGTGCATAGATTACAAGGTGATACTCAGTCACAAATAGTTGCAAACTTGAAAACAAACAGGAGTATCCCACATATACATTATGTTGCCCTAAGTCGAGTTACAACAATTGAAGGATTATACCGGGTGGTGCAAAAAAAAGTTAACCTGTTTGATTTGTTTTAACTTAAAAGCTAAAATAAATTTTACATGTGAATTACGTGCATTGCATTCAGTATTGTCTAACTTAAATTTTGATATATAGCTGGTGCAATTCCGTGCAATATTGAGTTTATATTAATGAAATAATAATAATTATAATAATATTATAATATTATAATAATAATATAATATAATTTAATTAAAATTAATTAATTAATTAATTAATTAATTAATTAAAATTAATTTAATATAATATAATTTATAATATTGAGTTTATATTAATGTTTAGTTTATATTGAGTTTATATTAGTTTATATTATTTATTTATTTATTATATTATAATAATATTATATATTTTGTTTCCAGTGGAAACAAATTGTTTCGAGCTCTTTGCACACATAAAGACAGCGTAAATGAATCTCAGAAACCTGGTGTGTACCCCATTCCTTGTGAATGTGATCTAGTTTACATTGGTGAAACTGGTCGAAATCTCTCAGTACGTCTTAAGGCACACAAGACGAATTGCGAGGAAGATAAATCTGCTGTGGCTAAACATACTTGGACTTATGACCATCATATAAAATGGGATGAAGCAACCATTTTGGCAATTGACAGTCATAAGTTCTCTTGCAAAATGAGAGTCAATTGAAATCGAGAAGCAGAAATACTATAGATCAGGAGGGAAAGCCACTAGATAGTATGTGGCATGCTCTGTTTAATGTGCAAAATTAATTTCTCTTGTCTTGGATGCATGTGTGTTAATTTAGCCTGCGAACAGGCTCACTGGGAGAAAGGTGAGCCTGCACGGAACATGCGTTTTATTCAATCATCCCCTTTTCACATCTGCCAATCAGCGTCGACTGCGATAAATCAACTGTCAAATTGACGCAAGGCGTGTACATTGTGCAACGAAGAAATACTGAATATTAAAATGTATACATAATGTATATATGAACAATAATACAAAGCATTAGTGGGCCGCACAAAATATTACTCGGAAAAATATAGAATTTTTCAAATATTAAATAGATATCAATACACATACAAATATAAAGCCGAATAAAATTGGCATTGAATCAATATACAGTAATACTTGTACTATGTGCGACTGAAAGAACAATGTTCTGAATATCTGAAGCTATTACTAAGATACGGTCAGATAGATTGGGATTTGGAATACCGAATACGTCTAAAATTTTACTAACTGTGGTCTAAATAAATGATAAATAAGCATGTATTTATTAATTTCTTCAAAATCACGAGTGTGCCAAATAGTGGAAGCATAGTGGTGGAAGCCGTATCGACGACGAAATTGTCAGCAGTTTATGCAGTAAATAGTACAGAGTTTGATGTACGATATATATTTATATCTAAATGACATGCCAGCGAGGATCACTACAATATAATTATTCGTACATATTTGGGTATCTTTTGTATACCTTCGCTTGCTGACTTGCTCACTAATGAGAATAATCCATGAAGCCACGACGACCTCAAAATGTACTATACTATAGTCTGATGTCAATCCGAAGACGAAATTCAGAATACTGTTATAGTTTCGTATATTGCATTTAAGCGATAGATTCAAGTCATTTATGATAGACTTTTTGCTGTGATGCTTTGCTATTGCTTTTGGTTTCCATTTCTAGTTTTATTTGTTCGATAGTCTTATAATATATAATATTAAAATAAATAAAGTTAAAATTCTTCAAAATGCTGTTGTTGACATTTGCTATTTTTAGTATTTTTGTCAACGAGTGTAAGCCAATCGGAAGCCTGCGTTTCTATACGAACGCCACTACCAAGAAAACCTATAGTTCCGCGCAGGCCCTCTATTCTTCGCGCCGCCCGTAACCCAGGGCCTGTTCGCAGGCTAGTGTTAATTGGAATCACTTCACTACATTTGAAATGATGTGGTTGATGTGCCGTTTAATTAAATTTCAAATGACACGGGCCAACAGATCACGACACTTTTGTATATAATAAGAGCGTGTGAACACAGAGTAAAGACATACAGAGCGTAACTGAACGTCGTAAACACTGCGGAAGATTACGTTATCATGTACCCACTTTTTTCAGGTGACCGGGCGAAAAATAATCAACTGCATGTGCTCAGCAAGTTTAAAGTGAGTCGTCATCAAGTTGTCATCCAATCAGATGCATGCATCTAGTAACTTGCCGAGCATGCACACAAAAAAATTGGATACACTAGTTACGTCTCTGTATGTCTCTACTCTGTGGTGTGAATTAAACAAGTCATATTAGCACTGATGAAGATCCAGGCTTACGGATCTTAACCCCCAGGAGAGACAATGGGGAAGGAGATGTTCGAGCGTTGCGACAAGTTGTGTCAACTCCAAGAATTAAATACACGAGTTTTGATGGAGACCCTATGAACTATGCATCATTTATTCATAACTTTGAAACTTGTCTTGAGAAAAACAATCTTGATAATGACACAAGATTGCAACTTGAATGGAAATTTATGTAGAACAAGAGCTCCATTCACACTTAATGTCTGTGGCTATTGCCCTTATTAAAATTGCATGGAGGACAGGGAAGAGAAAAAATTTTATTATTCTTGACCGATAATGGCAAGCACCGCTCAAGATTCTACTAATGCCACTATCCTCCTATGGTGATTACAGTAAAAAATTCGGCCAAATATTTAAAACCAAACTATTTAGTACCTTGGTATGAATAAGACGAACTATTTTCACCCACAACTGTATAAGGAGAATCATCCTCACTCAATTTTATCACTTCGTTATTTTCTAGCTTTAATTGCATCACTTTACTGAAAACCCAAACAGGTGGTTCAGAATTTGGCTGGAGCCCAAAAATCTGAAACAGAATATACATATACCACATACATAATTAATATAATAACATTGATATACATGAATTATTTATGTTGTGTCGCACATGTTATTAGCAAGGTTTAGATTTGACTTTCACCATGCACACATTGCACCTGAATCTCACTGTAATATATTGCTGAGATTTATGTTACACTTTTATTTCTAGATTTAGTAATTTAAATAAACATGGGACCGGTTGTTCTAAGGTATGTTAACTCTAACCCTGGCTCAAAATTTAACACGCTGCTTTCGTTTATATATTTCGACATACATGTTAATCTCAAAACTTCAGAAATGCTATTTCTTTATGAGATAATTCTAGAAATTAATTTACATTTAACATTACCTTCACTGGAATGAACTTTTTACTGTGTTCATTCTTGTCATACTGATCGCACATTTTTTTCATTAACGCTGGGAGAAAGTCTTTAGTTGGTGAAACCCAAAGACAACTCAAGACTAGCTTGTTAGTGATCTTGTACTGCTCATTCATGTCATGTCTTGTGAAAAAAAAACTGTCCAACCTGAGTGTTCAAAATTAAGATGGCAAGATCAAAACAAATACTTTGAAGGTAACTATAATTTATACTGAAAAATATATGGGTATAATATAATGAAAATATATGAAAAATATACTGAAAAATATATGGGTATTTATGCAGACCATTCGGGCTAAACGTCAATAGTATGGTTTTGAGTGCAATTTGGAAAAAACATGCACAAGTGAGTTTTTTAAAGACAATCAATCTCGTTCCCAGAGTATGCCTGTTCGCGGGTTAGTATGCAGACCGTTCGAGCTAAACGTCAATAGTATGGTTTTGAGTGCAATTTGGAAAAAACATGCACAAGTGAGTTTTTTAAAGACAATCAATCTCGTTCCCAGAGTATGCCTGTTCGCGGGTTAGGTTGTGGCATGACTCTGGGGAAATCGAATCGAAATCGTTATTTGATTGGCTGCCGTGATGATCAATGCTGCCAACACAATTATGCGTATTTTTTACGAGAATTACGCGTGGACATACGCGAAGAGAGATTGTTTATCAGATTTGGAATGCGAAATCAAACAATATAAATCGAAGGATATATTATATTAATCGTATGAAAAAGTATTGGGACGTTGGGTATATACTTACAAAATGGCATGGTATTTATGAATGACTTTTTATCGATCTACAGTATGAGTATATTTATTATAACCATGGAAGAATTGGCTAAATGAAATCATCGCACACGTCGTTGTTTTGTTAAATTGACATATTGTTGCCAGGACTTTGGAGTGACAGCTTTTGCTTGTGTTAAAGACTTGAAGCTTTAAACAATACAGTACAGTATGGTCAACACTCAACATGTCGGTAGCCTGTGGTCTTTGTGCTTTTGTAAATGGAGTTATCTACATAAATTTAAGATGCCAGGTGTTTTTGTAGCATCTGTATAAATTATAGAATAATTGATTTAAGAAGTTCCTCAGGTTGTACAACATTTGGTTATAGACTTGCTTTGTAAGTGATTGCCACTTGACAGCATGATGGGCTATTCCATTTAATATCCGTACACCCCCTGTCGAGGATACATGTTTTTCATGGTTATACCCCTGAAGAATTTCAAACTCAAAACCTTTTACCCCTGAAGAATTCCAAGCTCAAAACCCTTTACCTCAGAAGAATTCCAGGGATCCTCGACAGGGGGGTACGGATATTAAATGGAATAGCCCGATGTAAGGCTATAACTAAGCCAAACCTGAAACAATTTTTGCATCAATTTGTGTCTGGATAAAAAATAAGTAGTTAATTTAAATACAGATGTTTCCTTGTCTGTCGCTATGTGAAACAATGTTGTTTGATCAATAACAATGCTCATTTGCTAAAAATATACAAGTATTGATTCCATTTCCAAACTATTATACTATGTGAATATATTGGCAATTAATTCAATTCTATATAAAAGGAGATACAGTAGAATTGAAATAGCTACCAGTTAACCAGTTTCAATCAAATAACTACTTTAATTTCTGTATCAAGCCTCCTGGGTATTATTGTTTCCTAAGCATCATTGAGGGGGCACTTGTTCTTAATATATGCAATAAGTCTGGTTACCATTAAAAAATGTCCATATTCAGAGTTACAATTGTACTAAATTTTATTAAAATACTGCAGAAATGCAATATATATCATGATTTTAAGAATTAATTGAGGGCTGCATGGTTAAAAGAGGAGGGGCCAGCCGAGGGGGGCTTATTTATTTTTGATTTTTGTATCCAAGAGGAGGGGGGGCTTATTTATTTTTGATTCTTGTATCCAAATGAGGGGGGGGGGGTTATTGGAGAGGAGCTTGAAGAGAAGAGAGCTAAATATAGAAATTACAGTACCTCCATTCCTTCCTCTCACTTCCCAAACATGCTGCAGGAGAGGGGGCAACTGCAGGGGTTAAAGCATGGATTGCAAGGTTGATATATTGCATGTTATGTACCTGGTAATATGGAGAAATGAGCTAGTAAATATATCCTTTCCTATAATTAGTTGCTGATTAAATGTCCAAAGATACACAGTGTGAAGCATGAAAAGCAAATGGAAGATACCCACTGCAAGAATTTTTCAACAAATATATATGGATTTGTTCACTTCATTTATTACTTTTGACACAAGTAATTATAGTAATTATAATTACAAACACAATGTACTGTCATTTAAAGACTTTATATGTGGTCCATGTATATATGTTAATGTAATATAATATAAAAAATGTGTTTATTGTTAAAATATGTGATATATAATACCGTAAACCTCTGACTATAAGCTCTGGGCTTATATTTTTTTGAAGCGATTTTTCATGGGCTTAGGGGGGGGGGGCTTATATGCATGGGGGCCTTATACATAGACAATCAATTGTGTTAGTAATTGTTCCAGAGTAGAAACTGATTATTACTGAGAAAGAGACTGTTTCTAGGAACTGCAGGGGCTCGGACTCCCCGAATATGTACAAAACGAAAGTAACTTTATATTTTTGTAAATTTTTGTTTATGTTAAATTTCACATCTGTTTTCCGTATATTTTGCGAATTAAATAAGTTTAAAAACATGGTCCTTCGTGTCGGATAGAAGAAAAGTTTAGTATTTAACGATTGGCGTTAATAAATAGTGTTTATTGCTTGTTGGAAGCATGTCGAAAGAGCTAGAAGGCGTGAAAAAGAAGCGACGTTTTATGAGGAAGTCGGTGACGGACAGTTTAAAGTTGATTGATGAAGCGCTTGCAGAGGAAAATAGTCATGCTAGAGTTCAGGTACTGAAAGATAATATTTTAAGTAAATGGAATGATTTAACAGAGGTACAAGCCTCGCTTTCTATATATTTGGAAGACAGTGAAATTGATAGTGAATGTGCAGCACACAATGAGTATGAAATGAGAGTTATGGACTATATGGCTAGAATGACAAAGTATTTAAGTGTTAATACACATGCTGAGAACAGCAATGGGTCTAACGAGAGTGGGTCAAGTTTGGGGTCCACATGTAAAGTTCAAGTTAGACTGCCAAAGATTGAATTACCAACATTTGATGGGGATATATTATGTTGGCAGTCATACTATCAGTCTGTTAAAGTGTCCATTGTGGATAATAGTGCTTTAGCTGATGTGCAAAAACTAGAGTACATTATGCGATCACTGAAGGGTGTAGCTGCTGAGTCGGTTAAGGGATTTTCAATAGTGGCTGAGAATTATGAATCTGTTTTGTCAACTCTGAAGGAAAGATTTGGTCATTCAAGGTTGATCTTGGATGCGCATATGAGGGGTTTGATCCATTTACCCAGATTGAGTGCTGAAGATGCAACATCTATGAGGGTGTTTTATGATAAAGTAGTCGGGCATGTTCGCTCGGTTGAGTCAATGGGAGAGAAGTATAGCTCTGAAACCTTGGCACCAGTATTGGTTCCTTTGATTGTTGATAAGCTACCAAAAAAAACTTGTGGAAAAGTGGGAGCTTGAAATTGGAGATAAGAAAGAGGACTGTTTGCCTATAAAAACACTCTTTACTTTCTTAGAGCAAGTCATAAGGGCAAAGGAATCTAGTA